ACACCAAGTTGGAATTCCGAGAGGCAAGAAAAAGAAATGGGCAAGAAAAAAAAAAAAAAAAAAAAAAAAAAAAATACCCCCAATACTCAGAGTTGGAGAGAGCAGTTTTCTTAGAAAGCTGTTTTCTGACCCTCCAGCTCTAAAATATGGGACACAGTGCGGGGGATAAAGCTCAGTGACATAAGCACCTTCCTGGCAAGTATGAGGTCTTGAGTTCAATCCCCATATCGCAAAAAAACAAAAACAAAAACACAGGGACTGATGAAATTACCACCGTCCTTCCCACACCCACCGGCACTGGGAGAGTGAACTCACCTCCTTCAGGAGTTCTTGCATGTACTCTTCTCCTGATAAGTTCTGTTCCAGTCTCTTCTCGAGGGATGCAACCTTCTCTTGCAAATGCGTGATGAGTTTTTCTTTCTCCTTCATTTCAGCAGTGACCTGCAGGGGAAAGCCAAGAGCCAGTTACACTGTGAGCCTCTCCGTTCCTTCCTATCTCCACTGGGACCTCCCTGAAATTCTGTGCTCAACCGCAGCCTAGAAAAACACAGAATCTTCTATGAAAAAGGGACACAGTAGATGCCAGATCAGAACCCTGCAACACTCAGAAATCCAGTGCGGCAAAGAGCAAGTACTCTTCCTAATTGAAGCAGCTGATGGTGGGAGAAGGAACAAAACCGTGACCTCCCTGGTAGAGGCAGTAGAGCCACTCCTACCTGAGAAGCTCGTCTGCTGACCTAGAGACTCGGGCTGAGCACAGCAGTGAGGATGCCAATGTAGCCCCGCATGCAGAAGTGTACCCCTGCTTACACTCTGTGCCCTCCAGTCCTCTCCACGCAGGCTTCTGGAGTTCCAGCACAAGCACTCAGCGTGCAGCCCAGCCAGTTTCTCCTTAGAACATGATGGAACAACCTGGGCCCAGGGCTTGGGGAAGAGCCACTTGCCATTCTTCACTGTCACAGGGGTGACAACCAAGGTAGCTGGTGAGAGGAAGTGTCTGAAGAGCTGCCTTACAACCCCACAAAAATTTTATGGGGCCTAAACTCTGGCATCCCTTGTCTGCTGGGTATATGAAGGTCCTGAGCCACAGAACCAAGGAGGCCGCTGGTGGAGACAGATACACATGCAACTGATGAGGAAACAACAAGACCACACAGCTCTGGGGAACACACAAGCTGCTGTGATGTGTCAGAGGCAGGAGTGGTCCAGTGTTTAGAAGAAATGGAGCTGTCCAGTGAAGGGTGGTATGAGGCAAGGGCAGCATGCACAAGGAGGTGGCAGCCAAGTTCACGGTATCTGGGAGGCCAGGTGAGGAGGACCGCAGAGCCGCCTGGGGCTCAGCTCAATGGCACTACTGTGCAGATGCTAACGGACAGGAAAGAAAACAGTTATGGCTATGTGCAGTCCTCTTAGGGGCTTCTTAATAGTATTAGTGACAGCCACAGTCCTGTGTGCAAGAGAACACACACAAGCACTTCCCACCACCTCTGGTCCTCTCAACCATTCCTATCTGCAAGGAAACTTAATGCCCAGGGCATGACCAAAGACACATACCCTTGGTGATGGATTAGGGATCACACCCCAGGCTTCTGGATCCAAAGCCTGCGCTCGTTGTATATATTAATCTTAACATGACAGATGCAGGTGACTCTTTCCCGTGAAAACAGCAATAACAAAGTCACTTTGTTAAGCAAAGTCACACTCTGGAGTGCACACTTCCTGGTCTCTGGGCCCTAGCACCTGCTGTGCACTCCTGGAAGGACAACCACGCCATACTCTCTGCTGCCAAACCTTCCCTGTCCTGAGGATCACCTTCCTCACCTACTTCCTAGTCAAGTCTGAGCCCCACAGCTACAGTCCTGGAATACAGATGCAACAAGACTGGGGGCAGGGCAGTGGATCGGACAGACAGGAGTCTGAATCCTGGCTCTGTC